CAAGTACGATCGTACCTTAAACAATACATGTGAAATTGTGTGGATCAGTAAATTTATTTCTGGCAAAGCTTGATTATTTGGAATATGTAAGCTCTAGCAAATAACAATTACACTGAAGAGGGTTTCAAGTCTATTGTCTTCCTCGCCGCTTCGTTGTTGAGAATGTGCGTGCGCTGCTAATGTTGAGGTACTAGTAACTGGCAAATTTCAGAAATACAATTTCTAAATGAATCGTGTAAGCATGCAGCGAGCTTTCTGTTCGCTATGTCCCTGGCATAAATCGAATGGCACATTTTTAATAAATAGTCATCTTTATCATCATCACCAGTTTCCACTTCTGCTGCTAAGCGTTGTGTGGGGAAACAGTTTGCGATCCATTGCTTGATGGGCAACAATATCTGTTGTCATTCTGTGTTGATGTAGAAGCTCTTTAATGTCATCAGTCCATCTTCTTCTAAGGTGGCTTCTTAATTACACTTCAAATCTTCTCGTGTGTAGCGCCTGAGTTAGTGTTTGTTATGGCTGCATTTTTACCAAGTGACCAAACCATTTGATATTGTAATAAACAGCTATAATAAATAGTAAACAGCAATAATAAATAGTAAACAGCAATAATAAATAGTAAACAGCCATAATAAATAGTAAACAGCAATAATAAATAGTAAACAGCAATAATAAATAGTAAACAGCAATAATAAATAGTAAACATCAATAATAAATAGTAAACAGTAATAATAAATAGTAAACAGTAATAATAAATAGTAAATAGCAATAATAAATAGTAAACAGCAATAATAAATAGTAAAATCATTTATTTTTAATAATGGAAAGTGCAAGCGGTGATTATAGCCGTTAAGACACTCCTGGCAACCGAAATGAATCACCAGTGTTTATTAACAGGACATTTTTCATTGTATATACTGCCCTATGTGGCTCAGGCGTTGGAAGCGCGCTTAGTAATGCAGGGGCGCCAGGTTCGATCCCTGCTACGGACGATTTGTCTTGCTCTGGTTTTGACAGTGGCACCAAAAGCTGACCGTTAAGGAAGCAATGGCAAACTACTAAACTTAAAATTTGCCTTAAGAAACCACAAGCGCCCATAAGTGCTGGCATCGGTTCTGCAACGTCCTGTAAAGAATACGTAGCTTCATACTGTTATATAGTAACTTTTTAGGACGTTGTTGGATAGTCGGTCTCGAGCCTAATAACGTATGGTCGTGCGGCTACTCAGGATACATTTCTTTTTGTGTGGGGATTACAGACATTAAATACACATGCGTTGAACCTGGAGAAGGTCGAGTTTACGGACATAAACAATATGTATGGATAAATGCTGATGTGTGTATTGTTTATGGATATATGTTTTTATAGATACTGATGTATGTACTGTATGTGGTATTTACACAATAGGTCATCTGCATTGAGTGTGTGTGTGTGTGTGTGTGTTTGTGTGTGTGTGTGTGTGTGTGTGTGTGTGTGTGTGTGCTTGAGACAATAGGAGACTGAATATTGTGGGCCTTTCGAAGTATGTGTGCATCTGCTGATGGGAAGAGGAACCATCAGTCTACATAGCAAAAAGTCAAAGAAGTAAAACCAATGCGCACGCAAAAGTTGTTCTGAAAAGAAAAAAAAAAGCATAGGTCTGCAAGTGAACGAACAACAAAAACTTTTGACCAGCGTTTCTTTCCATTTACTGCCAGTGAACGCAAAAAAAAAAAAAAAAAAGACGAAGAAACTGACAGATGTATATGTTACATACATATATAATCTGCATTTTTATGTGGTAGAGCAGACGAAGCTTTTCTCTTAAATGATGCAAAATTAGTTCGACATAAATGTGTGTCATTTGACATACAAATTAAGTCACATGTTCGATGTTTACGATTATAAAGAAGACCTACATGTAGTAAGACATGCAAAACATATGCCTTCACACAAGTCACACAAAAACATATTCTTTCACAAAAACGTTTACTTTCACAAATATACTTTCTATGTTGTTCGTCATCACTAGCGATGAAGACCACTTTTATCCAAGGTAGTAACGAACTATGCTCATGAGTACAAAGGTTGTTGATTAGTCCAATATGAGCCTGGAAAGGTCTTGAGCAGTGTTGATAACAGATGGAAGCCGCTGTTAAGTGTTGGATTAGCAAAACAGTTCTTTATAGTTTGCCTCCGTTTCTCTGCCTGGGCAACTTTCGCTGCTTGGCAGGCTGATGCACCATGCCTGAAGGATGTACGGCACCCAGAGCTGTCCTGTGCAGCAGCCTCCCACGTTACTGTGCTGATGCCAAAAAGAATTTGGAGCAGTCTTGTGAGTTTCTTTATAGCCCTGTTTCTGTCCTACCTAGAACCTTTTTCCTTGCTGGAGCTCAAAATAAAATACTCTCTTTGGAAGGCGATTCTGGCATGGGGGCTAGATGACCAGCCTAACGCATGGCGTTGATACACAGTGCACGTTTTGCAAGCGTAGAGCAGTACTGGAAGAGATGATAATAAGATGAGATACACTGGCGCAGGGACTTGGACTAAGGAAGAGATGCTTAATTCGTCGACATAACTCTCTCGCCTGTGTCTTGATCCAATGGCAAAATAGTGTCGAGATATTTGGAAATCGACCTAGTTGCAGAGGATAAAAGAGGCGTCACAAGTGCCCAGTCTGTCTCTAAGCTCTCCATAGAGCCTGCTGGTAATCGTCTTTGTGTCTGTTTAATCTGCACAATCCGCAAAGTCCAGTCTTTGCGTGCAGGGTAGGGATATCCCAATCACCAAGTAGTTTAGAACCAGGTCGGCTACCCTCTCTTGGTTTAGCCAGCGCGTCAAAACTGTTGCTTGGGGAATGCAGGTTGTCGCATATACTTTCATAACACCATATACAAACACACTCACACACACACACACACACACACACACACAAATATAGTTTCAGGAAAGTCAGACTCAAAACTTACTCCATCACAAAAGCCAACCATAAAATTTCAACGTTCACCCACACACACACACACACACACACATTTTTTGACACACGCGCACCCAAACACATTAGGCTTACATTTTCACAAGAGTCAGACATAAAACACATACTTGAACAAAAGTCATACACAAAACTCACTTTCACAAAAGTCACATAAAACACATACTTTTATAAAAGTCGCATAACTC